GAGGGCCCGGAGATCAGATGCATCCAATATTGCGTTTCGGCCTTGTCCCTTGCACACAGAGATTTCTCCAGATTCTCTGAATCTTTTGATGATTTTGTAGATGATTATATATTTAAAGTCTTTGCAATTTTACTTTGAGGAACATTATTTTGAAATTGTTTGACAATTGTTAGACCCAACTTTTCATAGATTGGTGAACCTCGGCCCATCTTTACTCCTGAGATACTCTGACTCTCTAAGATGCTCTTTTTATACCCAATCATGTTACTGACTTGTTGCCAATTAACCTACCGTATTTGCCGGCGTATAAGACGTGTTTTTAGACTTAAAAACATCCCCTGAAAATCGGGGGTCGTCTTATACGCTGGGTATGGATGTGCGGTAATACTGTATGTACGGTAGCTTCGGCTACATACAGTATACCGTGCTGAGCCAATGACGGCAGGCTTTGTATTAATGAATACAAAGCCTGTATTAATGAATACAAAGCCTGCCGTGATTGGCTTAGCGTGGTATACTGTATGTAGTCAAAGCTACCGTACATACAATATTACCGCACATCCAGCGGGCTGACAGATTAGCCTCCCTGGCGGTCTGATGATTTTATTTGTATTTTATTTGTTTTTTGTTCTATTTTATTTTTTCTTTTTTTTTAACTTTTAAAATTGCTGTCGGTTCCGCTCCCCTGCGACGTGGACGCTCTCAAGGGACGGAACCCGGAAGACGGAGGACACAGCGGGGATCGTGGACAAGGTGAAAGACTGTAATCCCGAGTGTGGCTTGGGGTTACCGCTTATGGTAAAAAAAAATAACCCCGAGCCACACTCGGGAATACCGCCATGGAGGTTAAACATTATTTTGGGCTATACTCGTCTTATACGACGAGTATAGCCCAAAACCTATGTTTTAACAGTAAAAGTAGGAGGTCGTCTTATACGCCGAGTCATCTTATACGGCGGCAAATACGGTAATTAGTTGCAAAATGTTTTTCCAACTCTGTCTTGTCAGTACCACTTACTTTGCCAGCTTTTTGTTGCCGTCCCAACTTTTTGGAGACGCGGTGCTGCCATCAATTTAAAAATGACCTTATTGTTTTCTTCAAATGGTACATTGTCTCACTTTAAACATTGTAAATGTTTTCTATTGTAAATAAAATATAGGTATATGAGATTTACAAACCATTACATTCTGTCTTTATGTACATTTTACACAGCGTCCCAACTTTTTTGGGATTGGGGTTGTAATAATAATAGTCTGATTTATTAGAAGAGCTACTGTAGCTCAAACAGCTTGGTGCCAGATACCGCAGCATACCTTCAAAGGTCTAGTGGAGTCCATGCGTCAATGGGTCAGGGCTGTTTTGGTGGCAAAAGGGGACCTACTCAATATTAGATGGGTGGTCATAATGTTATGGCCGATTGGTCTATACTAAATGCAGAGTAAATACAAGATGTTTGGTGGCCTATCTCCATATAGTGAGGGCCATTATACAGGTTGGGGCCAAAAGCAACAGATTTACCTGGGTAGCACTGGCCTGCCTTAGACTAAAGAGTCGTCACAGGGCTGGGCCGTACAGTGAAGATCTGCTGCGTGCAGATACAGGTAAGAATTTTACGGTGTAGGCTACACTGAGGAGGGGATCGTTAAAGGACGTCTTCAATAAAAGTGAAGTTGTCTTTTAAGTAACGTGATGAATGTTGAGGATGCAGTGTAATAGCTCTGCTCTATAATTTTATACAGGCCGCAAACATGGCAGTTTTCAGGCAATTTCACTCACCTCACAATGGTAAAACGTCTGACAAAAAGACTCAAGGCACTTTAAGGGCTTGTTCACACCAAGCGCGGAGCAGATCCAGAGCAGAGCAGTTACAGACCGGATCAAAACTGCGTCCAATGTATTCCAATGGTATTTTTTGCTCCAGTTCACATCGCAGCGTTCAGTTGCAGAGCAGATCCAGAGCAGGTGAAAAAACTGCAGCAGGCCCTATTTTACCTGCTCTGGAACGCATCAAAAACGCATGCCAATGCCTGGCAAACACTGAAAGCCCATTATAAACATTAAACATTTTTTTTTTTTTTTTACCAAAAAGAGCCCGGAACGCATCAAAAAGACTAGTGTGCGTGTGCAGAAACCTGACCGGATCTGCTCTGCATTTGGTGTGAACAAGGCCTAACCTACGCAGCTTTCATCATTTCACATTTTCAATAGAAACTTTATTTTGTTATTAAAGGACAACTGTACCTTTGGACAATTGTCTTTTAATAAATTCCCCCACCCCTGAGTGTCTATCAAGAGGACAAATACTTACCTAGAGTACCGATCCAGCAATATTCAAGTCCTGCTTGGAACTGTACAGTCATTCTCCTCAAAACAGCTGCTTCATACTGTGCATAAGCAACAAGACCCCATTCATTTCTATGGGAAAGCCAGACTTATGGCGGCCTCTAGTGGTTGCTTATAGTAAATCCTACACAAATGCACATGTGCAGTATTATTATTACATAGGATTTATATAGGGCCAACCGTTTGCGCAGCGCTTTACAATATAACGAAGACATTACAATCACAATACAAATCAAGACAAGATGGTAAGGAGGACCCTGCCCGCGAGTACAAAGGTATTTGTCCTAGTGGACAACACACCCCGGGTGGGGTGGAAGGAATTTAATAATGGACAACTATACAAAAGGTACAGTAAAGGTAAAAGCCGGCGTGTATGGACACCATTAGGCCCATGTCACACAAGTGAACCTGTCCCAGGCGGCAAATGGCCAACAACAGCATCGCTAAAGAGCACCCTCTTGATGTGCTAAAACACAGCTAAATCTCTTTGCCTGTGAGAGGGTATTCATGGGAGTGACATTTAGCTGGTATAAGCAGTATGAGAGTAATTCTATGAGAGCAAGTCAATGTATCCTTTGCTTGTTTAGGGGCCATTCAGATTGTTGCTTTACATAATTAAATACAGGTTAAAGCCCAAATCCAGGCTCCCTTCCTCCCCAAGAGGGCCCCTGCATGTATTTTACATTTTTTTTTATACTTACCTTTCAAAAGTCTTCAGGCCCGACACATGACAGCTAGATCCTCTTTGGACCTTCTCCAGTGGTAGGCATTCCTCACTGATGCAGACTGCTCTCTGCATCATTACAATAAGTACAGAACCCTGTGCTGACACCCTCTTAGAGGCTGGATCAGTGACGACCTGTACTCATAGTATCTCCTCAGTCTTCCAGCTAGAATAACACAAAGCGACATTTACCCTAGAGGACCTCTTGTGGCTTAGAAGAGGTACTGCAGGGGCAGCAGAAACTTCTCATTTTTCTTCCTCCTGAGGGACATTTTGTAAAGTGGTATTTGCTGTACAAGTTACCTCTAATCATAGGTCTCCTATGTCTGGATGGCTGCTGTGTAAGGTAATAATCCTAGTTTCATCTGCTGGATACTATTGTCAGCGCTGAACTTCCGGTGCTGTGGCTGAGACCCGCGGCTCTCGGATAGTGAAGGGATGCTGTCGTTCATCCTTGAAGAAAAAGCTTTGTCCATTCACAAAATTTATCAAAACTGGAGCAGACAAATTTTGGAGCAGCTGTGCATGGCAGCCAATCAGCTTCTCAGTTTGTCCCATTAAGTTTTGAAAATGAAAGAGAGAAGCTGATTGGCTGCCATGCACAGCTGCTCCGGAATTTGTCTGCTCCAGTTTTGATAAATTCCCTTCAAGGTGTCATGTGAATGGACGATGGGAGAGGTGGGGTGATAAAATGACAGAACCTCTCATTGTTCGTTCACAGAACACCTTGCACTCTGTGAACAGAATACAAGGCAATTTGTGAATGGACAAGCTGAGAGGAAAGGGAATATAAAGGTCAGGATCCCTTCACTGAGAGCCATCGCTCTCGGCTACAGTGCTGGAATCTTGGCACTGACAGTAGTATCAGGCATGATTTTTACCTTACACTGCAGCCATCCGGACCTGGCGGAACCATCATTAGAGGTAACTTATTTGTACATATATCTCCGGTGGGGTTACCCCCTGCCCTACATGGGGCAACTGCTTTTTTTTTGTCTAGGGGATCTGTATAAAGGACTTTTACTTACTTGATCCCCGTTCCAATACCAGCGGCCACAGCCTCGTCCTCTCTCTGCTCCGTTGGTCGGGTTTGCTAAGGTCATCATGTGTAATGCAAGGCCCACAGCTCTGCCTTATACTTGAGGATGCCGAGGGACAGTCTACAAGCCAGAGGAGAGGGGTGAGCGCCGACTGCCAAGAGAGTGGGGATCAGGTAAGTAAAGGTTATATTCACCCAAAAATTTGGGGCTTTAACGAACTGCACTGAGGCACCACATTGTACTGCAAATCTTACCAAACATGCAGCATTTTTTAAAGGTTAAAATGCAGCACATGATGACCACATCTGCAGTGAAACGCATGTGTATTGTGCTTCGCTGCAGGTTATAAAGTGTTTCAGCCATGGGGAGGGGGCGTCCATTGCTATACACCCAAGCTGCTGCATGCAGGTGTGCATACACCATGACAGCACACCCCATGTAATTTCACATAATAAATGAAGAAATTAAGACAGCGGTCCAGTCTTCATATGGTATACTGTGAACTGCTGCAGTCTAGCAGTCCATTACCACCTAATCAGACAAGTCCTTATATGACCCGAAAGTCCACATCTGTACAACATGACCTCCTCACTTATCCAACCAGCTTTTACTTTCGGTGCCTAGTCACCATTAACCACATCGACGCCATCTTTGATAGAGGCACTGTTCTTCCTTTAGGCTTCTTGTATTAAAAAACCCCTATAACTACTCTAGCGGCAATGCCGTATTAGCTGTCATATTGCATTTGAAAATAAAATGAGAGATTTTTTAACCTTCTATAACAATTTTCTCATCTATATTAGACAGCAGTGACCACAAGAAAGATGGCCGCGCTCCTAGTATGGTGACGTCACTTTCCTACAGCGAAGCGGAAGTGACCCCTAGGAGGTGTGGCGCTTCCAGGAAAAGGAGCCGGTAACTGTGAGTATCGTGTTTTTGGGTTCCTAGGTGGAATAGGGGTTCGGCTTTCCATTGCAGGGTGCAGTGAACTGTATGCAGAGCATTCTGCCGGTCCGCAGTGGTAATTTCCGGTCTGTGTGGACGCTCTATTATTTTTTTATTCCCCTTGGAATGATAAAATGATGGTGTCCCAGTGATACAGGAGATGGTGGGGCTAGAAATAACAGGGTAGACTTTATCTGCAGGGCTGGTGGAGAGGGGTTCTGTGCAGGGTGAGTGGAGAGAAGGTAGATTTCAGGAACATGGAAACCCTAAGTGAATGACCACATTCACATGATCCTCCTGTGTTTGGTTTATTTACATGTGAGAAGATAAGATCTGGGAAGTATAAGGGCTCATGCACACAGGTATTCAATTATCTGCATCCAGATGTGTCCTTTGTTCAAACCTGAACTCAGCACATTTGCATCCTGTGGGTCCATGCACACTGACCCGCTTTGGTCTGCAGAACAATTCTGTTGACTGACAGCTAGCTCTGCCTATCTAGAGGCAGAGCCAGCTGTACCCGCCCCCTCCCCCGTCTGTTCCGCCAGTGAGTGCTGGTGGGGAGGGGGAAATCCAGCCCCTCCCCTGTCATGGCAGAGAGCCGTGACAGGATCGAGAGGTGAGCGAACGCCGGTATGTGTTCGCTCACCTCCCGATCTACTGAGCCGACATGTGACAGTCTCTCACCTGAAGAGCACTCACTTCTCCTTTAAATGGGAGCTCTGGGGAAAAATTATTATTAAAAGAAAACTATGGGGTAAGTGTTTTCCCTATAGTTCTCTTAAGGGTCACGGGAGGACATATACTAGCGTCCTCCCGTGGCCCAAAGCTCAGTATATCACGAGCTACAGCTTGCGGTATGCTGAGACTGCCGCAGCCTGGACGGATCCTGACAATGCTGTTGAGATCCACCCAGCTGCGTGAATGACAGCTGGCTCTGCTTTTCCAGAGGCAGAGCCACCTGTACCCTCCCCCATCAGTTCCGCCAGTCAGTGCTGGAGGAACGGAGTGAGGAGGGGAATCCCTGCGGGAGTGATGACTGAGAGTCACTGCTCTCTGCAGGGAGGTGAGCGAGCGACGATATGTGTTCGCTCACTTCCCAATCTATTGAGCCGACGTGTGACAGTTTCATTGTCACACGTCGGCTCGAACTATTAGGAGTGATTTCCACTCACCTCATAGTTCTCCTTTAACCCTTGTTGTGGGTCAACCCGAAGGGTTAAGCAATGCCTCATGGGACTTGTAGTTTCACAACAGCTGGAGTGCTGAGGTTGCCTCCCCCTGCTCTCACTATGACATTTTTTTTAGGGTCCCCCCAAATGCTGAAGCCATCTTACAAATGGTCTCAAATACAGTATGTTTCCCTTACCCGCGCTTCTGGCCACAAGTCACGCCATTTATGAATCTTGCAAATGCACACACCAGGAAGCAAGAATACCATATCAGGAAGGAAGAGACTTGTGAGAGCAGAGCACCTTGCTGGAGACAGCTGAGCTGCTGACATATATCAGTATCTAAAGACTCAGGTTGGCTATTAGGGGTACCACATCCCCTCATCGATTAAATTACATTGGATCAACAACAGCACTGAAGACCTCTGTGGTGTTGTTGATCCAATGTAATGAGCTGCTGACATAAACAAAGGCAAGGCAGCACTCTGCAGATCCCGGCACAGCCATGATGCAGGACACTACGGTGAAAATGCGCATGTAATATTCATGTCACTGCTAACAATTACACCAATATTGATGGGGCCGGAAACCTGTTGAGGATTTGATGTCTGTCTATGGTTGTTACGTAATCTAAACTTGCTGATTGGGGAAAGTTAAAATATTTAGTTTAATTCCACCTGCAATCATGCCATTTCAAAAGTCTTTTTCAGTGTTTTGAAATGTGGAGCTTTCATTAAACTAGAACTCCAGGAAATCTAAAAATGAACCCTTGCAGTGGGGCTACCACCCCCCCCCCCATTTACATTAATGTTATATATCACAACAGTTACATCTGTGTCTGTATTGCATGTTCAAACCTTAATACCATAAGTAATAACATTAATAGAGGTTTACTCCAGGAGTATATAATGAGATTGGAAATTCTAGAGAAATTCTTAAATGACTCTTTCACTAAACCCACTAGACCAAATCTACTATGGATATAGTCGACTAAAATCTTATGATATTTAGTCGACTAAAACTAGACTAAAACTAAAACTATTTAGATGACTAAGACTGAATGGCATTTTAGTCAAAAGACTAGACATGTGCACTGACAAAAAATGTGTTTAGTTTCTTTTCGTTTTGATTCAGATTTTGCATGGTTTCGTTTTTCAGGATTCGGGTCCGAAATTCGATTTGTTTTTGGATCTGGACGAAATCCGTTAGCGGTAGTCCGGTCGACATTTCGTTTACTGGACAAAATTTCGTTGCAGCAAAGTGACATAAGAAATTTTTTCTTTTTCTTTTAGGGCTAGTTCACACCAAGCGCAGAGCAGGTGCAGAGCACAGCAGAGCAGGTGCAGACCGGATCAAAACTGCGCCCAATGTATTCCTATAGTATTTTTAGCTCCAGTTCACATTGCAGCGTGCAGATCCAGAGCAGGTAAAAAAAAACTGCAGCAGGCCCTATTTTACCTGCTCTGATCCAGAGCAAACGCATCAAAAACGCATGCCTAGAACGCACTGAAAGCCCATGTTAAACTAAAAAAGCCCAAAATGCGTCAAAACCGCATCTAAAAGACTAGCGTGCGTGTGCAGAAACCTGACCGGATCTGCTCTGCATTTGGTGTGAACAAGGCCTTACAGTCTCCAGAAGATGGGGAAAAACGCGTGCGGTTCCCCCCAATTCATACCAGACCCTTAAGAAGTAGCATAGCACACTCAGTGCGACGTTTCGGGGTCACGTAGGATCCACTTCATAGGGCAGAACAAGTGACCCCAAAACGTGTGCTATGCTACTTCCTTTGCATGTACATCAATAAATAGACGTATTCTACCTGCTGTTGGGAGTGCCGGTGTCCATATTCTTTTGTACTACTGAGATGGTGGCCATCCGTCGACTACCGATGCACCCATATTATTCTGATGGATGAGCAATCAGGAGTGCAATGGGTACATGGACTGTATAAGGAGGACATGTCGCATCCTCTTTGCTTTCACATAGGGGGCTTGTTAGCCTATTTACTTGGCACAACCACAAATTGGGTTGGGTTGTTGTGTTGCTGGGCACTAAAATGAACTTAAAGTGATATTAAAGCCTAACTTTTTTTTTTAATTTCTCCTTTAATTTGCTGGAGGCTGTTGATTTTATTCTTTAAAAGTCTCTAATTCCTCGTTTTCTAGTGGCTCCCGGGAGCGCACTTCCCACCGCCCCCTGCACGGGTGCCACCATCGTTCTAATGGAGGCACCCGTGCCCGCTTGTTTCCGCAATGGCTGTGTGCATCCATGGACACACACAGCCCTGTGGCAGGCCACGCCCCTTCCCTCTCTGATTGATGGCAGAAGGAGCCTATGGCTCCTCTGCCATCAGTATCCTCCCCCCGCAACCCGGAAGTTTGGGGAACGGAGGATCTCTTTGGACCGGCGGCGGAGACGAGCGCAGCTGAGAAGTAAGTGTGGCGGGGACTGGGGTAGAAAAAAGATGCTGGGCTGTTTTTACCCTAATTCAGAGAATGCATTAACGTAAATAAAGCCCAGACCTTAATACTACTTTAAAATGCATTTTAATAAACGCCTTGGCAGCGAAGAAGGTTACGGGACTTCCGATTTAAAACTAGTAATAGATTAGACTGGTCTGTTTTGTGGTTTGGTAGGGCTTGTGCTGGGCATATGCACCAAACACTTGTCTACACTGTGGCTTCACCTTGAAACTGTGATCTGGTTTTGCATTGTTGAAGCCCAATGTTCTGGAACAGTGCACTCTTTGTTTTAGCCAAACACCTTCACAGGGATGCCAATTGCTGGAGGACTTTTGTGTCAGCAGTGTAAATGTGGAACTATAGTTGTTCTTTTGCAATGAAGTCTTCTTACTTTCCTGTTCTCATTCTTGTTTTGTGTGCATGCTCCTCGGCTCCATCTGGTGGCAATAATACCATGTGAACAGGATTTGTCCAGTTTCATGCTGGGTGAAAGATTTCTACATCGGCCCCTTACAGTATGAACTATTGGTTTTCTGTTGCTAGCAGTGTGTCCAAATTAAACTGACACAGTAAAGTCAACAGACTGACTGGCTGATATACCAGGTAAGTACAGACCCTGGTAGAAGGATCCCTACCATATCATTATGTAATAAAACCACACATGTGATTGTACATTCTCTTTTAGATCTACCAATAAGTATATAGTGCACTATCCTGCCTGATTGGATATACATTTACTGGGTAGATTATGTAAGTTCTTATAGTACATAAATAGGGCTGCATCTAATATTTATTTTCATAGTCGATTACTTGACCGATTATTTTTTCAATTAATCGGATACAAAAATAAATAAATACCATCCTTCATTTAAAATAAAATACACAAATGGAGTGTTACAAACATAAAGTTTACTTCAGAATAAAACTGCATGCACAATTTTTTTCAATCGCACTGCACTGGAAAGCACTGCATCACAGCACAATGTGTTTCAGTGCGGGCGATCACAGTGTGGGTGGGAGGTGCATTTGGGGTGCCATTGAAATGAATGGCACTGAAATGCACCTGCCGCAGCAGAATTTGTCAGACCGAGACCGAAAATAATTTTTTTCCAAACTTTTTATCTTTTTAAAAATAATTGTATTGTAAGCACATGGCGCTTGAATAGCGTCAGCCGAGGAATGACAGCTGCCACTGGCAAGATTCCGCAGACGGCAGCTGAATGTAAAAACAGCAGGCAGTGGGCTGGTGCAAGAGGCAGCCTGCTAATGGTGTCGCATACCTTGATATGAGCCCGAATTGACGAAGAGGGCCTCCACTTGCAGCTCCCGTCTGAGGACCTCTGGAGGTGGAACAGCTGGTACGCCGACTGGGAGAGGCACGGGTGCCGGAAGTGTTGTTGTAGGTACCCAGACAGGTGGTGCAGGGGCCGGCATGATGAGAAGGCAGATCAACGGGTGTAGAGGTCAGCAGCGGAGAACAGCACCCGGGCAGGTCAGGGAAGCAGCGTTGAGACAGACCTGGTCGGTGACTAGCAGCAGGTGAGGTGCAGAATTAGAAGGCACAACAAAGTCAGGAAGCCGACCAGGTCAGCAACGGGTAGGCAGAGCAGTACAGAATCAGGATCCAGAAGAATCGTCAAGGAGCAAGCTGGGTCACAACACAGGTCAGATAGCAAGATCAGGTTTTAGCAGGTACACAGCTGAAGATCACTCAGCAAGGAGGAAGTGTACCAGGTTTCCTTAAATTGTCCGTTTTGGCGCCACTAGCCGCAATGGACATGCCTACGTCATCGCGTCGTAGCGTGTGGAGGCACGCTCTGTTGCGCCTCTGCGCATGCGCATATGTGTGTGCCATATTAACCCCAGAGTGCCTTCTTTGCGCGTACTTCCACGCAATGACCCGACCAGGAGCTGCAGTATGAGCACTGACCTGGCAACTGGCCATTTCAAATTGCAATAACTAATAGGAGCCTAGCTATTGCACTCGTCCACTGCTTGCTGTGACTTCCTCCCAGCGTGGAGGAGAGAGCAAGGGGTATCCAAGCAACTAATCGATAATGAGAATAGTTGACAACTATACAATAGTTGATTATTATCGATTATTTGGTTGCAACCCTATACATAGATTTGGTAAATCTAAAGTTGCCTAAATGGTCAGATTGTAACGTGTATGGTTTTATTACATAATGATATGGTAGGGGTCCTACCAACAGGGTCCGTACTTACCTGCTAAGACAGTCAGCCAGTCGTTTTGTCAGTTGGATTTGGATACACTTCGAGCATGGTGAGCCTTACATTGATGCCATCAGATTACTTCTAATACCAATATGTGAATTTTGCTTTACATAATAAAACCTTTTACACTTTATTTGCCCAGATTACTTATATGTCCTTTCTTTTCTGCAGACAAGATGGATTCACTGTGGTTACTCCTGCTTTGGGGCTTTTGCCTCTCTTCAGCGAGTGAAGATTCAAAAGCCGTCACCATGTCTCTCACCGCCAAGTGGCCTTCTACATCACTGGTGCTGGAGGCCAGGTAAGACTTATAAATGAGTGGAACCAAGAAAGATTATTCAGTGTGGACCTCCAGGCAAATATAACAACCCAACATTTAGTCTAAATAATAATTAGGAGATCATTTTATTAGGTTACCTAAAGTCTATAATTATGCTAAATGTATGTAATCCCCTGCACAGCAGAAAATGAGTGACAGGTTGTGCACTATGGACATTCAGGTTTTGTTCCAGTGGATGACATTGTCTTACTAATGGCTTCTAAGTTTTATGGCAGCCAGAGGGGAAGAGCGAAGGCAGCTTCCAGGAAAGGGAAGGCTGCATTGATACTGGCCCCCCTGCATGGATTGAACTGCTTTTGACATAATAACTGGTCTATTATTCCCCACGTTGCCAAACACCCCTTTGCATAGTGTTTGGCTTTGTTTTACACACTACATAGCTACATAATGAAAGTAATATTTATCTTATTAGTATATGTCAACATGTACTAATACTACCGAAATTCCCCAGGGTACTGGAAGCATTCTGTGCTGCTACAAGTGTTTGTTGGTATAAAATGCTCACCGTGGATAATTACTCATATACACTACCTGGCCAAAAAAAAAAGGTCACACACTCTAATATTTGGTTTGACCGCCTTTTAGCTTTTATTAGGGCACGCATTTTGATAAGCTTATCCAATGCCACAACATTTATTTCCATCCACAGTTGCATTAATTCACCAAGATCTTGTAGTGATGATGGTTCGATCTACTGAGCCGACCTGTGACAGTCTCATTGTCACAGGTCGGCTAGAACTATGAGGTGAGTGAAAAGCACTCACCTCATAGTTCTCCTTTTAAGGTCTGGACTCTGTGGTGGCCAATCCATGAAAATGATGTCTCATGCTCCCTGAACCACTCTTTTACAATTTGAGCCTGATGAATCCTGGCATTGTCATCTTGGAATACGCCCAATGTGCCATCAGGGAAGAAAAAATCCATCGATGGAAAAACCTGATCAGTAATTATCCAATGGAGACTGTGACCTGTTTGCTTAGCTAAATCACTTTTTTTGTGGCCAGGCCGTGTATATTGTGTAGATACAGTTGGTTTTACTCTGATCCTTACCGTGTCTTTTTGACATATAATTCAGTGTATACTAAAATTTTTAAGGCTTGTTCACACGATTTTCTGGTTCAAATCTATGCATGCAGTGCGTTTTTGACGTGTTTTTGATGTGTTCCAGTTAAAAAACAAAACCCTTTTTTGGTTGGAGTGGGGCTGTCAGTATGTTAGCTGCAGTGCAGTGGGTTTTTGTTAAGTTTTTGACACATTCATGCATTTCCGGACCGGACAAAATGTGACATACAGTATTTTTTCTGACCGGAACGGACTGCGCTCGTGAGAACTGTAGCCCATAAAACACATAGGGATGCGTTTTGGGTGCATGAGCGCAGGGACCTGGTCCGGACAGAATCCGGACGTCGTGTGAACAAGCCCTTAAACATCAAGGAGCAGCATCCATTGTAAGTGATTTCATCAGCATTTAAAATAGCTTAAAAACCTTTTGACTTTAATATTACTTTAACCGCCTCCCTGCGCACGTGAGAACTGTAGCCCATAAAACACATAGGGATACATTGGGATGCATATTTAGTGCAGGAGCGTACTGATCAGGTCAGCACAGAATACGGACATCAGGTGAACAGGCCCTTAAGCCTTGACATGTTTGGTGTCTATTTACCCAACGTGACCCCGTCTTTTATATGTTACCAAAAAAAATGGGTAATAATAATTGTTTCCTAACACAATGTAAAATAAAAACCCCAGTGGTGACTAAATACCACCAAAAGAAAGCTCTTATCTGTCCCCAAAAAATTGGTATAACATTCATTTCAGTACAGAGTTGCATGACGAAATACCTCAGCGCTGAATACTGAAAAATGGCCTGACCAGGAAGGGGTGTAAACACCTGGTCAGCAAGTGGTTAATGTTGAAATTCAACATTAAATATATAAAGGTAGTATTAAAAATTTTTTTTACAGTTGTTTCTTTACAACGCGTGGTATCTGATCATTTAAAGGTGGCTCTTGAGCTGGAACAGCTTGGAGAACTGTGGAGTAGAGGATTGTGTCTTTCCTATGCCGCAGGCTCAGGAGTGAAGTGTTCCTTGTTTGAATAATCAAATAAAGCAATGAACTTGGCCGCAGTTCCTTTCCAGTCACATGTGTTTACCTCTGTGCCCAGGTTCCTGGTCTGGCAATCCTGTCCTCCTAAGGATCAGGTCTCCTGCCCCTCTGTCTTTCACTGCGTTGGAGCAATAAGCATCTTTTACAATCACTTTGCTGTCCTCCCTGCTCAGACTATGAATAAGTATTCATGTCATTTACTGATCTGGTGAGAGTACGTTCCACTGGAAGAAGCAGAAACTGCAGCCAGATGGGAAGCGTCACAGATGCTCTGTGTACACTTCAATTACAGAAAGCACGAACACAGGAGCACAAGCTGGAAACAGTATACATGTATACAGAGACGGCTCCTAATAAAATAATGAGGCCATTCTTCTACTTTTACCCCTTAGGCTGTAAACAAATTAGCTGTTTGGAACTAGCTAGCAGCTAGATACACAGTTGACGTACATACAAATAACACAGTTCACAGGTATCACACTGTAATGGGAATAGTTGTCCAATATTTGAACAGCCATGAGCGGTCTTCTGCCATTATTTATACCTGGCGATGGGCTGCTTAGGTATCCAGTACTAAATTGTAGGACCCAGAAGTACCTGATTTCTCTCGGGGGTCTGGCATTGGATTATTGTGATGGGAGAGTGCAGGAACGGTATGAACCCATGTTTGCTGTACAGCTTGTATGTTACTGCCTGGCTGCTAGACTGGTCCCGGAAGCCTCTTCTCCCCCAGGGTCAGGCAGTCTAAGCACCGCTGACGTCATAACGTGTAATACAAGTCTATTGACTTGTATTATACGTAAGGACACCAATCGACATTTCACAGATGGAGGGGAGGGAGAGGTTCAGGTGAGTATTTTTTATTTCAGTGCCCAGACCAAAATGAGCACTTAACCCTTGCAGTGTGGGGGTAGCCCGACTGTGAGGGTTAATTTTGTAACTGGCCAAAGTTTTTTTTTAACCCCCCCTACCACCCTTTAAATGCCTCTATTACTTTCTTAAACCTGAAGTCATGTGACACTCCAGCCCTGAGTCATCTTCTATTGTTTAATAAGGTGGAGTGCTTCTTTAGGCCTCCACAGCACTGCCTACACGACCGGGATACTTCCTTTTGGCTACCCAAAGGATTTAGAAGAGGAGTGATGTCAGCACATGGGGTCTTTTAAAGGACCTCGATGACTAGCCATCGTGGGTGCATCTGCAGCACTGGATATGTAAAAAGGTTAACATAAATTGCAAGGCTATATTCCGGTCATGCTGACTGGTGACATTTTTGACTGACTGGTGAGACACCCTAAAATGTTTCAAGTCCTGGTAACTTGCTTCACAAGGTTGGAGAACTAAACTGTGCAGAATGGGTTAGATGGGATGGGAGGGAGGGGCTTATCTTTTGCCCAGAGAGAGTTTTAAAAGACCGATTTGTAATTGAAATGCTATCTGTTCTCCATGGGATGCTGCAGTAAATAATTTACACTATGCCTCCATTTTATGCTTCATTCAGAAAATGCAGAGTGCAGTGTGGCGCCTGCAGTGTGTTCTTTGCATAATACTGCAAAGGACACTCTATAGTAGGAGGGCTTAGTCACATGACCTGTCAGGCAGGGATCACTTCCTCCGGCACATTATTTTGTTTCACATTCATTAAAAGAATAGGACTGTGTGTATTTCAGGATCCAAAAGCACATTAGTAAGATATATAGTTTGTATTCTAGCAACTTCAGTGCTAAATTATAGCGAATTATAGCTAATTTGCCTACAAACCTCAGGTGGTCATAATAATCTGGCCACTCAGTGTATAGCCATGGTGGAAAATTATTTATTTGAAGAGCGGTAAGGCCAAAAACTGTATAAAAAATTGGCACTTGAGTTTTATTAAAATAATGTATTCGGTTGTTTTAACATTTTAGGGATTACCAGTTCAGATACCAGTGCCTATATTTGGCATTTTCATGAGTACTATCAGGGTTGCAGAGGTTGCAGCTGGGACCTGCCTCTGGCGCTCCACCACTGTCCTGAAATCATTGGTCTGTATTGTTTTAGAAAAACTGTCACATGACCATAAACAAAAATGTATCAGTACTTGTATCTGTGAGTACATGGACAAGTATCAGTACTTGTATCTGTAAGTACTTGGAAAAGTACCAGTACTTGTATCTGTGAGTACTTGGACAAGTATCAGTACTTGTATCTGTAAGTACTTGGAAAAGTATCAGCGGCCTCCTAACTTTTGAATTTTTCTCCAGTCTAGTGTTGGAGCTGGAAAGGTATCTGTACTTGTACTTGTACCGAGTATAGTACTGGTATCGGGGCATCCCTATTATTAATACCAGCAGATGCTTAAATGTTTCCTCCTCATTTACTCTTGCAGTGAATTTCTTGCGGATGAAGGACAGGATAAGTTCTGGGACTTTGTGGATGAAAACCAACAAATAGTAGATCAAGGTAAACCACCTACATTGTCTTTGCTCGAACTGAAGGCTTAGCTTCGTTGAACGGAGCTAAAGAAGATCACATCTTCATAGGAGGAATGGTCCCCATGCCTTGATGTCCATTTCTGCTCACCTCCACTCTGCATTGGTAACCTAAGGTCTGCCTAGGCAGGAGAACACAAAGTTCTGTAAACTTAAAGTGACATTAAGGGCAAAAGTCCCCCCCCCCACTGCTAATGTAAGGACTTACCTTAAACGATGCCTCTTAATCCGATCATCTTCTTTCCTGTAGTTTTTAGGTGCCCCTCCAGTGCTGGTGCGGGTCTCCGATCCAGCTCTGACTCCTCTGTCCTCCTCTCCTTGCTAGCAGTAGATATATGCAAAAATATGCGAGGGTTTAATAACCCTTTAATTAGGGTGTCACTATTGACCTTCTCCTAGCACAGCAAAAATCATTAAGCCGTGTATGTACAAAAGTCAGTAAAACCTCTTCTCTTATCTGTTATAATAATAATATATGCAAAGTTTAGAAAATGTAGGAAAAAAACAATAGCTTTCATTTGATTGAGTTTTACAAAACCTTTAAATAGAATTCTCCATGATATAAATGTGGTAGTTGCCAATGTTGACTTCTCTGTGAAGGTTCAAGCTTTGAGCAGCTAACGCCATTCTTTATTTAATACTGGGTAAGTCACTGACCTGGAACAAGTATGCAGCCATTGAAGTCTCAGGACATCTTAGATGCATATACATTTCAGATCAATGACTCAGTAGGTTAGATATTGATGAGGATGATAGCCTAGGATCGTGAACCTTTAGAAACAAATCAAGAATGGCAGCTCCCAGCAGAAAGTAGTTTTAATGAGCAGATATTTTAAGGTTTTGCAGGAGTTAGTTTAAAGTACATTTTCGAAGTGACTTCCACATTTGGCGCGTAGCTTATTCCATATATTGGTATTGTATTAAAGAAAGGGATCTGTGAGGAGGAGCTGTAAAACATAACTCCTTAATGACCCTGCAAAGCAGAGCATAAATGTAGTGAGTCAATTAGGCTTTACATATAACATATACATATATCATTAGAAAATAATTTTATAATATGAACACACTATGAGAAGATTACACCAAGCTGGTCAGTATTTTGTGCTTATCTTCAAAAATAAAATAAAAGAACAGTCATTTCCTTTAAGTCCAGCCCACATTTATGGCTTAAATGTCTAATGTATTGCAGGAGAAAGCCTTTAATGTTTGCATTGAAGCGAGTGTAAGGTTGTCCTTTTAATAAAGTTGACCTTAGGGTAGCAATAGGAAATTGTTTAGGGATGCCTCGAAATTTTGGCCACCTAAACATTTTGACCAAAAATGGTTCTATGGGCAAAATGCAGATAGTAAAAAAATGGGCAAAAATGCGGTGCATCCCTGGTGTCTCTCCTCCCCTATGGGTTCTGGCTGAAGCTTTGGTTTGTGTTCCCTCTGATCCACACTGCTCTTACCCGCCTGTGTTGGCAGAGGCAGCAGGGATCGGAGGGGACGCAGAACCGATCCAGCGCGGAGGAGAGAAAGTGTCAGGAGGTGGAGCGGGGCAGTGTGGATCACAAACACTGAGCAATCGGTACTGATCACTCAGTGTTTTTTAAATAACTGAGGACATAGTAAGTTTACTATGTCCCCAGTTATGAATGCACTGGAAGTGCTCTACATCACAGAGGATTAACAAAAGTAGCCACCCTCCAGAAGGGAGGACAGTGTCAGCACCAATTCAGAGATGATTTGAGGATCTACAGCCGCGTCATACACAAATAAGATACATTTTTGTTAATAGTTAAGGTTCTTGAATGCATTTTTGAGGTTTAACTCCTGAGATTAGTGTCACTTTAACTGCAGCAGAGAAAAGTCAGGTCTTCAGGTTGGCTGCGCTGCCTCTCAGGGCTGTGTAATAATCAGGACCAGATAGCCAGAGATTTAAATAATTTACAAGGTAAGATAGCAATAAATATATTGCCCGGAGTTTAACTTTAATGAGAGAACACAACAACAGTTTCTTCCTCTAAATATTTTTCTCTAATTAAAAATCTGTACAGAGAAAGAGGAGAGGGTAGGAGGGAGAGTAAATATTTTCTATTTCAGCTATGTGTGTAATTTGAGCTTCAGCATTTAAGCTCAGCAAACAGGCATTTTACATTGTCTGCTATTTGTAATAGTTGTTACTTGAGTCATTTTACTGTTCACATGGGTTTACTTTAAGGAACCAGTGACCATATGCTTCTCTTTATGACCATAATAAACTCTCTAGAAAGTCTGTTGTCAGCATTGATTCCTGACTCTTGGAATTTCCTGACTCTTGGAATTTGGCCTAGACATCTTTTTTCCTGTTTTATTTACTATTACAAGGAATTCTGTTTTGATGTCTTTTTGTAGAGCTGATGGAGATCATAATGTCACACTGTTCTCTGCAAGAAACTTGGGTTACACATCCAGCTGTTTAACGTATTAGCAGCTCCTCCAGGAGGATTGTTCCGTAATGCCGAAGTTTTGTTTTCTTAACTTTAGTTTCAAGTTACACAAAATCACAATTTAGTCAGACAGTTTTATAACAGTGTGCTGGGATTCTGGCCAATGCATTCCATTAACATTACATATACATTAGCTGGGACACATTCTTTACATGCTTTGATGAGTTTTATTTCATCTGGCATCCTCATATAATGTATATACATTTGACTTCATATGTGTGAAGTTATGAACTACCAAAATTTAAAATATTTCATGGAATATATATAGATTGATGTACTTTACATGCTCCTTTTTTTTCTTCTTCTTATTAAATAAGGAAAATAATGATGAATAAATATTAAAATCTTTAAAGTGACACTAAACTCAGGAGCATTTCAGTCCCCTAACTATTAACAAAAATGTATCTTATTTTTGTATCACTCGGCTGTAGATCCTCAAACCATCTCTGAATTGTTGCTGACACTGTGGCTACTTTACAACACACACAGGGAACATGGGGAACAGAAGTAGCCCCCCTCCAGAAGGAAGGACAGTGTCAGCAACAATTCAGAGATGATTTGAGGATGTACAAATACACAAATAAGATACGTCTTTGTTAATAGTACTTGAATGCATTTTTAAGATTTAACTCCTAAGTTTAGTGTCACTTTAATCAATAAAGCTTGGTCACCTCACCACCTCCAGGCTGTAACTAGACGATTAACTAATAGAAGTAGTTTACTCCCACTTACGCTGCTCTGTCTTCCTGTTAGTGTCCCTTCCCTCTCCCAGTCTGAGTTTTGCTCTCCAGGGGTTTATGGGGTTCAAGGGCCTTGTCTCCCTTCCCCCCCCCCCTTTTTTTTTTCCTTCTTTCTCTCAGTTCCCTCCCCCTCTTTTTTTCCTTTGTTTTTGTTTCTCCACACTTTTTCTCTTTGTAACCCTGATTTCGTCTTCCCGTGTAGGGCAGATCTGATGGTCTTCATTACATTTACCTCAAAATACTGTTGTTACCCTTATTCATGACGTGAAAATACAATGAATCTATTTCCTTGTACCTTCAGGACTGCTACACGTTGTATTATTTACTGTTTCCTGGGCCCCTACATAGCGGGACCTTCTTTTTTTCCAAGTTGTTATCCCTATTTCTCTGTCATTTGTTCCTTAAAATTCTTTTTTGCAAAAACGAAAATAAAGACTTATACATTTAATTATTT